ATTTTTAATCCATTTTATACAATCCGCCTTCATTTAGCAAGTGCACTCGCGCATAAACAGTTTTCAAGGTCAACACTTGTTGTTCCATTGTGGATGCTGCTGATTCACCGAGACCGCCGCGGCTCATCAAAGAGAAATGCTGCGCGCGTTTATTATGAGGGGGTAGAATCCACAGCTCAGTACTCACTACTCAATACTCATGAGTACTTTTAAATAGACTACTCTTTTACTCTTACTCAAGTAGTTTTTTGGACAAGTACTTTTACTCTACTCGCACTACATTTTTTGGAAGGTAATGGTACTTTTACTTGAGTATATTTTTTCAGTACTCTTTCCACCACTGGGACTCCCAGATAAGGGTACGAGTACTTATGCAATGGAATCATTTACGTTTTTTATTTTTTAATACATTTGCAAAGATGTTAAAAACCTGTTTTTTTGTGTGTTGGCACTATGGTGTATGGAGTGTAGATTGATGTGGAAAAAAAGTAATTTAAAGCAGTTTAACATAAGGCAGCAACATAACAAAATGTGAATGTATGAATACTTTTTATAGGCACTGTATGTGTGTGTGTGTATATATATATATATATATATATTTCAGTTGTTCTTTTATTTCCATTGCAAATAATTGGGCCTTTTGGATTCACATTTAAATTAATTTCTACTATAAATAATAAGTGGTCTGATGTCAGCCCTTGAAACATATCAACTGCAAAGTAAATCAGTAACGTTTTTTTTCAAGATCTCAGCAGAGGATGATTAATCAACTCCAAAAACAGCATTACAGCATTATCTTCTCCGGTCTGGTTCATTTCTTCTGTTCAGTCCATCAAGGTCAGATGCAAGTAGACCTTGTGAACCGGTGGGTTTTGAGGTGGGTGGGCAAAGGGGGAGGCTAAAATAAAGTGTGCAGTAAATGACAAGAATCAGCCAGTGTATTTCCTGTTTGACAACTGTCAGTCAGACGCTGCTGATGAAGAACAAGAAATGATCCAGCAGCAATCATGGAATCTCAGTCATAATGGAATGATGGGATTTTTCAAGTTTCTTGAAAACATAAAACCAAACACCCTGAAGATGACTCGAGAAGTTTTGCAGAAACGGACGCAGTTGGAAGCAAATGTCTCCAATCTACAGCTACGCATTCAAGTGATGGACCAAAAGCAAAATGAGCTGAAACAAACTCAAGCAGCTCTGGAGAAGAACAGGAAATATGTAGAGGAAAATAATGACTTTGAGTATGAAGCTGAAGTTTCATATAAGGAGAAGATTCCCATCAGTTCAGAATTTTGGCACTTGACCAAAGAGGCGACATGCTGCACCGTCTGTCAGGAGAACTGTCATTATCCAGGATGCTGGTGGGTCAGAGATCTCTCATGGTGCAGCGTGATGAAAAAGAATCACTGTACAGTGTGCACTAATAGATGCCACTACAGCAAACACGTCAAAGAAGCAAAAATATATGTACCAAAGACAAAGATGGTAAAGAAAACACACGAAGATCTAAAGAGAAAATATGATAAAAAAATTGGGGATGATGTCTCTTTGGTGAGCAAACTGGACAAAGATCTGCAAGAATTAGAGAATGAGAAAATAAAGCTGGTGAATCAAGCTTTTCACTGTGTGGAAAGACTGGAGAAAATTGCACTCAAGACTGATTCTCTATTCACACTTCAGCACATTGATTTTATGGTTGAGAAGTTGAAAGTAATAAATGAGGCCCAAAAGGCTGAAACACTGGAAAACATGAAAATGAGAGTAGGAGAAGAAAAACAAAGAACACTGGAATATTATAAAAGCATCATTAATCATTAATATCATTAAAACAATTAGGCCTACATCAAGGGTGTCCAAACTTTTTTTTTAAAAGTGGGCCAGATTCGACTATGTGGACACTCCGGGGGGCCAGATGCTTATATGTATATATGTAGCAGTAGCTTGAGTTTTGTTGAGGATGTAAAAATATGTAAATATTGACAACCTTAAAAGTTTTAATAATTATAATATATAGAATGGCTTCATGGTATTTAGTCTATTAACACATTTATCTTGTATAAATAGAAAAGCACAAAACTGCGTATAACAAAAAAAATCTGTAATTTTGCCCTATATTTCACTACACTCTTGCATTACAATCTGTTGGCCTATATGTTTACATTAATAATATAAAATTTGCTATGAATATCCTACATTTCTGCCACAATACCACAGTTACTGTTACTACAGTAAATCCATTGTAAATGTTGGTGATTTGTGGATTGAAAAGCATAACTGCATTGTTGTTGTACAAAGTTTCTCCTATTTTCTGCATCAGTGTTGTTGAGAATGTCAGCGCTGTTTCATCTGCCTTTAAACAAGTTTAAATCACCGCAGAATCTGTGGTTTGCATCGGAAAGCTCTGCTACAAATGCAAACGCTTCTCACAGTGCTGTTTAGTGGTCTTGTAATCGAGATCAGTCAGCGAGTAAACACATTTGTTCTGAGATCGTACTGCTACATCTGGTGCTGTCACCTTGTGTTGACATTGAGAAACTGCGTATTTTGTAAATTATGCTTGGTGGGCCATATATAATATATTTTAATTGACAAGCTGCAGGCTGTTTGAAATACATCCACGGGCGGGCCGTAGTTTCGACACCCCTGGCCTACATAAATACATTGGAACATAAGAATCAGCAATCATTCTGCAAATGCTTTTAAACTACAGCATACAATTATTATTGATTGCATTCAATGATTGGAACTGCAGAATTGTTTATATGTTATCTATGTATGTGTGTGTGTGTGTGTGTGTGTGTACATCACCAAGCTTCCCCGGTCACCACCGCCCCAGCTGGAATTTATACATTTACTGTATATAAAAGAATAAAGTCAAGTCCTGCCCTATAATTTTTCACATTCAAAAAGTTGTCACTCTGAAATATGTCATAATACATAAATCAAGCCAAAAAATGAAAATGGCAAGATGCAACTGAGGTTTGCTTTTGTTACATTTAAATTGACATTGTCTTTTCTAGTTGTAAAGGTTAAAAGAAGCATTAAGAACTCGATTGGTAAAAGACTTAGACTCAACTCGAACTTGACTTAGGTGGACTCAAACCCAACACTAGCATCAAGGCACGTACAAATTAATTTCACTTCCTGTCTCCTGAGATGCCTTCATCTAATTGATTTTTGAAGCAGCATAGAGATATCCTTCACTGTCTTTGAAATCCCACAATCCTGTTCGTTTCATTCTGGGACAGTTGAGCTATAAAAAATAAATATGGCATCTGAAAGTTGAGGTTGGTGGTCAGTTTGTGTGTAAATGTATCTTTTTGACCAACTTCTTCCATGTTTGATGTTATTTCTAGCGAGAAATTACTAATTAAATATTAACTTCGTTATCACCAAATCTCGCTCTGTTTTGATGTAGATCATTAAACCGTTACACTGCCTCAGGAGCCTGTCCAAAGTCAGCTTTGTGAGAAGCCTTCCTGCACAAACGCTGACTGCAATGTGAGGAAACAAATCAGCAGCCTAAGCTTTCGGACGCAGCTGAAGTTCGGCAGTTTGAAACAGCTTTGAAACTAGCAATAAAACACTCTGAAGCCTTCTTTTAAATCACATGACTCAAAAAGGATGTTGGCCTCAGCGTTAACATATTAAATGATAGTTTATTAATGGTTATTCAATTATATCCTCATGTACAGTTCTTTTTGTCATTACTATTTGTGTTGATCCCGCTCTCGCTGAACTTCTGACCATTACTGCGTGCTCCCATCCGCTCCCGCGATTTCTGTGTCCGCTCCCGCAAACATTCTAATATTGTATATAATTTTCGCGCATCAGGGTATTTAAATCCCCTTTGAATGAGCGCTCGCAGTCATAGTTCACTTTCGATTTCGCGATCACGCACGCACTGTGTAAAGGGAGCACATCCTACGATAAAATATATTTGTCAATGAGCTCGGGATCTGTTGAGGAGCAGATCCTCAAACATCTTTGTCAGTTATCTCTCCTTACTTTTGACCCGTGATTAGTCAAATCTGACTTCTGCAGCTTGCAGGGTTGTTGTTGTTGTTTTCCACGAAATTGGGCTGCTTTTAAACTGTTGCCATGGGTTGATTTTCCCCAGTGGATTAAAGGTTTAAAATATTGCATAAATTACATTTGATTGAAATGCTTGTACTGAAACATTTTGCATTGTACCTGTAATAAAACTGTGCTAAATGTTTTGGACCACACTAGTAGGAAGCATTTAGGCTGTGTTTATGTAAAATATGTATTTTAGGGATGGAAATTACATTTTTATATTTGGGACATGGTAATTGTGCTACTTTGTTTTTTTTTTACTGGCATGGGCTTGGGATGCACAAATAAATGATGTAATAGTTGTGATCATTATTTCATTCAGACACGATCAGGTGCAGTACTGACACTCTGTCAAGTCTGCATCAAATCAAGCACTCATTGCCCTGTTAGCTCGGAGAGCTTTATTTTCCCTCCTCAATAAGTTTTGTCAGTTGTTTTGTTTATTGGTTTCTTGGGTTGCATTGGTTGGTCACTCAATTCATTCTCTTGTGCTTCATTCCCCACTTCTGAATTATGTTGTATTGATAAGGAGTTATCACAAAGTAAGTCTGTTTAGTTGTGCTATCTTACAATCAATATATAGTAAATGTAAGTTAAAGTGTCACCGATGTAACCGGTTAAAACTTGGAGTGACGATGAGGTCTTAAAATGTATGGAAAGAGTCTTAAAAAAGGCCTTAAAAGGTATTAA